TCGGGCCGTCAATATAACAAGATTGGAAAAGTATAAGTGCCTACCTTAAAATTGTTAAGTCAAACAATCAATAAATCAAAAAATTTCTTTTATAACATGCTAATTTTCATGTTGATTTTTACTTTTTAGGATCAAGTTTGATTTGGTGTTCAAAGACTTTTGGAAAAAAAAGATTAGAATTTAAGTTTGAAGGTTAAAAATCAACTTCAGGTACTATTATTTCATCTCTTTGATTGCTCGAAATGTTTCCTAAAAAACGATTGTCTGATCATCTAAAATGAAAAAGAAAGAAATTAATTGAAATTGATCATAAATCTCAAAAGGGTTCTATTCATAATTTTTTTGGAAAACACCCTACAATTTTTATTTCAAATGATGCAAATCTAGGTAATTTGAATCTTGAAGTTGAGAGTTTAGAGAATGAACAACTAAATACAATTGTTGAAGAGTAAAAAATTTTGGTTGAAAACAACGAAAATGAAGATGATGATGAAGCCGAAAAATTTCGACGATGAAGGTTTTAATAATGAAAATGAACATATCCCTGTTTTTGTTGATGAACAACCTAACGAGTCTATTCTATTGGACATTTATGATCCAAGAACATGGAATAACCTTAGCAATGACTTAAGAGATGAATTACTAAGAAATGATCCTAAAAGAGATGTGTCAATTGTGTATGGTTCTAAAGATACTTATGGTAGGCATTTCTCATCATCATTTTATATTCGATATTGTTCTAATGGAGAAGAGGAAGATAGAAATTGTCTTGTTTATTAAAAAGAATTGGATATAATTTTTTGTTTTTGTTGTATATTATTTGGTACAAGTTGTATAATGAATTGCTTAGCAAATGAAGGTTTTAATGATTGGAAACATATTTATGAAAGGCTTAAAAAACATGAATCAAGCAGTGCACACATGTCTTTCATTAGTAAATGGATATACTTATAAATTAGATTTAAGAAAAATATAACAATGATAAACATCTTCAAGAGCTTATAAGAAATGAAAAAAGGCATTGGAAGGATGTCTTACTTAGGATAGTTTTTGTTACTAAATATCTAGCTGAGCAAAATTTAGAATTTTGTGGGAAAATGAGAGGATTAATATGGAAAACAATGGAAACTTTCGTTCTCTTGTTGAAATGATTGCTGAATGAAATTCTGTCATGCAAAAACATTTCGAACGTATTAAGAATAATAAAATCCATTATCATTATCTTAGTCATAAGATTCAAAATGAATTGATTAACATGTTAGGTAATGAAGTCAAAAGTGGAATAGTCAAAAAAATTAAAGAAGTAAAATATTTTTCTGTGATTCTTAATTGTACTCGTGATGTAAGTCACCAAGTACAAATGACTCTCATTATACATTGTGTGGATGTTTATACAATTCCAATAAAAATTGAAGAGTTTTTTTGTAGAATTTCTGAAAGTCTATGAAACAACTGGTCAAGTATTATTTGAGGAATTAAAAAATGTATTAGAAACTCTTGGTTTAGATATTAATAATGTGAGAGGACAAGGATATGATAATGGATCAAACATGAAAGGTCAACATCAAGGTGTACAAACAAATTATTAGATATTAATCCTAGAGATTTTTTTGGATACTTTGTGATATTGCAAATTCTTGTACTAAAGCTAAAGATTTTTTTGGAGTGTTAAAACGTATTTATACTGTATTTTCTCATTCGAAAAAACATTGGGAAATTCTTAAAGATACTGTGAAAGGTTTAACTATTAAACCATTGTCACAAACACGTTGAGAAAGTAATGTGAATAATGTATATGCAATTAAATTTCAAACTTCAGATGTAAGAGAAACACTATTTCAACTAACCGAACAAGATAATGATCCCAAAATTAAGAGTGAAGCTGAATCTTTAGCAACTCATATAATTGGAAACTTTGAATTTTTAGTAGCTATGATTATTTGGTTTGATTTGTTAACTGTTGTTAATGAAATTAGTAAAAGTTTACAAAAAAAGACATGCGTATTGATGTGGCTATAGAACTAATAAAATGTTTGATCAAGTATTTGAAAAAATATAGAGAATCTGGATTTCTAAATGCTAAGACTAGTGCTGAAAAGATTGGGAATGAAATGGAGATTGAATGTGTGTTTATTCAAAAACGTCAAATTCTTAAAAAATAATACTATGATAAAAATTCATCTCAACCCACACAACTGAATCTTGAGTCTGCTTAAGAGTCCTTTCAAAATCATTATTTCTTATATATTATAAATCAAATAATTGGCTCACTTGATAGAAGATTTGAGTAGTATAGCACATATGAAAATATTTTTGGTTTCTTGATTAGTATTGAAAGGCTTAGATCATTATTTGATAAGAACTTGAAAGCATGGTGTAAACATCTTGAAACTTATTTAAAACATGACAACTATCTTAATCTTGATGGTGAAATTTTGTTTGAAGAATTGAAAGTTATTAGAGAAGTTTTAATAGCTGAATCAAAATCAAACTATATGATATTGAGTTCTTTAAAGACTTTTAATTGTTTTTCTAATGTATGCATAACTTACATTAATAATATTGACTATTCCTATCAGTGTTGCATCTGCTGAAAGAAGTTTTTCTAAATCAAAATTATTAAAATCTTATTTGAGATCTACTATGTCACAAGATAGATTAAATAGTCTTGCGTTGATTTCAATTGAAAATAATTTTTTGAAGAACCTTGATTATGAACGAATTATTAATGATTTTGCAACAAAAAATACTAAGAGGGTGATATTTAGATAATTTTAAAGGTTTGTTAGTTTTTTTTATAGGAAAAAAGATCGGATCAATAATAATAACAATAATAAGAAAAAGAAGAAGAATAAGTCTCTTTAAAGTGGTTTATGTTTTGATGTAGTATAAACATTGATTCAAAGATCCATACTTGTATTTTTTTTTCAGTGTCAAATGAAAATGTGTTTTTTATTCATTTATTTCTTTTATTCTTATTTATTTATTGCTAAAAAAATTATAGGGACATCACTCTTTTGATTCGTCAAGGCACCCAAATTCAAAGGATGGACCCTATTTGGCATGATAGTAAAACAACACGGTTCTGATCATTGATCTCACGCACATATTCATACGATTTTATTTAGTTTTTAATAATATTGAGAATGATTAAAACCACCATTAACAATAGCCATAAAATGTATCTAATAAGACTATGATATAAATCGCGGGTTGACCTATACTCATAAGTACCTCTATAGTTAAATGTGTCGTGGGCACTGACATACAAATTTTTTTTAAATTAAAATTAGCAATAATTAGAATTAAAAACAGTTAATTCATTGATTAGTGCAAACGTGATTATATGGAGTTAATCATGAATCTATGGAGTAGTGCAAACGTGATTATATGGAGTTAAATGTGAATCTATGGAGTTAAACGCGATTTCTTTTAAAAAAATAATGTTTGGATGATTGGAAACATGATTTGGTTAAATGTGCATCTAATTCCAAATTCACGTTTTCTTCAAAGCTACAAATCTGCATCAACTAAAAAGAATTTTTTTTATTTAATTATCATGTTAATTTAGTAATTTTTTAAATTTTTATTTAATTTTTTATATTTAATTATTAGTGATTTAATAAGTATATATTATATTTTATAAAAATAGACATTAAAATTGAATTTGATAATTATACAATTAAAAATAATTTTAATTCAAACTACTCAAACAATAAATAATATTGGGAATCACTTTTGCACAAATTTATCTAAACACACATCAATTTATATTTAACTCATGCTTAATCAAAATCAATTCTATCAAAATCAATTCTTCTATGGAGAACCAAACACATACTAAATAGGATGAATATGATGATGTGGAAGACGAACCTAAGTTTTGGAATAATAAAAATGACACGAGTTCAACAACCCATTGACAAGATAACAACTAATTTTATTTTATTATTGTTCAACTTCTTAGAAGATTATAAGAAATTTCATAAAGTCAATTCAGCTATTTTAACTTTTTTGAGGGTGAAGTTTTGTTTATTAATAGAGCCCCAAACCTAACTTCATTTCCAAATAATAATATTATCTTTTAGTAGGTGTTTTTCCTTTAATATTCAAAGTTTACAAATTAAATATCATTGTGTGCGTTTCACTGCTACCTGTTTAAAAAAATAAATACACACTCTCAGTAGTTTTTCTTGTCTTTTAGAAGTTGCCGCAACAATGACTACCAATAGGCAACAATAACGTTTTCCAATGTGGTGATAAGGTTGTCAGAATCACGATTCTATCACTTTTCCCAATCCTCATCCAACATTAACTAAAAATCTTGGAAACATGCACAAGATCATGCATTGTCGTTTAGCTTTGAACATGCACTACCCACTATTGAAAATTGGATCACTGCACAACCCTAGTTTAGAAATAGAATAACAAGTTTGCAACAGCTGCAGAGAATCCCTACACTGTTACATAATCTTTGACCCAGATCAGTTGTTTATCATCTATATCTGTTTTCTTATGTTAAAGATCTTAGTGTTAATAAGGAATAAAAAGAGCTTGAAGTAAAAACACAGGAAAAATGAAGAAACTCATCTCAAGGTGAAGTTTTCCATTAAAAACTAAGCTGAGAATAGTAAGATTACAAAGCATAATCACCCAAATATTCGTAAATTAGCTTCCCCCACTTCCTAATATCAATCCAAACCCAAATGGGAAAACCATATAAAAAAGAAAACTTAGCTACATTGCATCCATACATAACGCTACTATACTACCACTATACATTCATCAAAACAAATTGAACATTAATGTTACATAGTTTAAGAAAAAAAACTCACGAACTATAAAATGGAGAAAGCATTATTATTATTCGAGCAATTCCAAAATTGCGGAGAACCTTCTTTTAAAAGATTCGTTTCGGCATTTGATCGAACAGGTGTGCGGCAAGTCGGGCACGTGGCAACTTTGATCAGCCACGTGTCAATGCATCTCCGGTGAAAAACATGACAACACGCGGCGAGGTTTCTACACCATTGACCGTTGCGAAACCCGTCCAAGCAAACGGCGCACCGGGAATCGGGTCCGAGAGTGGAGTTTTTGTTGACGCGGAAGTTGGGGAGGTTGTTGATTTCGTGGGGGAGGAAGGGGGAGGTTGGAGATTGGAGGCGGCGGGATTGGGTGGGACGGAAGCGGAGGCGGTGGAGGGCGCCGGCGAGGAGGAAGAGGTTGAGGAGGAGGAAAGCGGCGAAGCCGAGGAAGAGGAAGAAGAGGGAGGTGAGAAGGAGCATGATGATGGGTTTGAGGAAGAGGGAGAGGAGGTTAGGGTTGGGTTTGTGTTCGGGATCGGCGCCATGGGGATGGTGAGGAAGAGGAGGCATGGTTGGGATTGGAATTGAAGGAAAGGGTTGAAAATGGTGGTGGCAATAATAGGAATAACGAAATAGGAATAGAAGATGAGAGAGAAGGAGAGATAGAGAGAGGAATAAGGAAGGGATATGCGTATTTATTTGTTCTTAGTTGTAAATCTAGGGGCGGTAACCTTATGGTACATGGGTTTCCCAAATCGTGAATTGATATCCTGGACCCACACCCTATTTTATTTGTGAAATTTTTTATTGCACCACATATACATATATATATATATATATATATATATATATATATATATATATATATATATATATATATATATATATATATATATATATATATATATATATATATATATATATATATATATATATATATATATATATATATATATATATATATATATATATATATATATATATATATATATATATATATATATATATATATATATATATATATATATATATATATATATATATATATATATATATATATATATATATATATATATATATATATATATATATATATATATATATATATATATATATATATATATATATATATTAAAGTATGGCATGAATTTTGAAATATGTTTTTTTTATTTTAGAGATATATTGTAATTAGAGTTGCATTTAAGAGTGGGTGAATTAGGCACTAAATTTTTTTTCGGTCTTAATGAAAATTTTTTGTTTTATTTTTTTAAAAGTTACTAAGTGTTGAATGCAGTAAAAGCAGAAAGTAAATAGACACGACGATTATCCTGGTTTCTTTTACAATCCGAGAGTACTCTGGTTTCCTTTCAACACAAAAGAGATTTTTTTAATATTATTAGATCCTAAAACAAGACTTCTACCTAGTCTTTCTTATACAGACTCTAACCAATCAAAGCACCAAGAACAATCCTCTTAAAATGGACCTCTTGCTTTTAACAACCCTGGACAGTAAGGTTACAACCTTACAAACTTATTTCCAACAATTCTGAAAAAATAAGATATAATTAAAGAACAAATAATTCTGATTTTGAGTAATTTGCAGCAGTATTCAATTATCAATCTTGCGACTGATCTTCTTCTTGAGATATCAACTCTTATTTATCAAATACAAGTGTTCAAAAATAGAGGAATAAAATTATGATGAAATAATGAAATTTGAGGTGCAGTAGTTTCACTCTTGAAAATTGAGAATTTTTGACACTTGTGAAAGTTTAGAATTTGAGAGATGAAATGAAATTTGAAATTTTTGCAAGAAGGTTAATCTCAAAGTCTGAGATTTTGAGGTATATGAATGCCTCTAAACACCTTTTCAAAAGAGTACAAATGACTAAGAGTTGCCGTGGTTCAAGAAGAAAAGAGAAAAACAAAATCTGCCAACAAATGCAATTTTCTAGCTCACTGCGTTAGTAGTAACCGGTTACCAGCCTCAACGTTTGAAAAATTAGAAAGTTTACACAGGGTAACCAATTACCAAGAATAGGTAATCGGTTACTCTGAACAGGTTTTGCAAAAAATCACTTTGAAATAGAGGCAAAATGCATTGTAATGGTTTTAAAACAATTTTAAAATGATATGCAAGAATGAGAGATGAAGTTGAACACTTGTACAAGCTATATAGAAGTTGAATGTTGTACCTTCATTTGTGTAGAACTTTGTCTTCATTCTTTAACAAATCTTGACATATTGATTTGACATTGAAGTTCTTCAAGCTTGATTTCTTTGAGATTCTTTTATCCATCCTTGTATGTTGTAGAGTGTGTCGTCATCAAAACCATTTGAAAAGCCATGTCTTCACAGTCTCCCCTTTTTTGATGATGACAACATCTTCTTTGAAAGTTTTTGCGGCTTTTCTAACAAGTGCTCAAGTGCTCCCCTTCAGATGATGCTCCCCCTTAATCTATGATTTAAGAGAGTCTTGAAATTATCTGCAAAATTTGTTAGAAGAGAAAAAAAACATAGTATACACATATACAAACACATGAAATTCTTCTCCCCCTTTGTCAACAACAAAAAAGGATGATGGGAAAAGCGTTTCAACAAGAACACGTGTGGACAAAAAACTAAACACAAGAACATAAAGAAGAACACAACATGTCACAAATACGAAACAAAATGTAACGAACGAAACCAAACATACTCTACGAGTTTATAACACAAAAACATAAGACAAAAAATTCATCAAATAGAAATCATTGTTCAATCGCTTTCAGACATAACATCATCATCTTCATTTTCTTCTTCATCTTCATCACCTTCTTCTTCTTCTTCTTCTTCTTCTTCATCATCATCATCTTTTCGGAGAGCTTGAAGTTGCTGCATAGCTAGTTATTTGAACATTTTGCGCATATAAACCATGTATTTCTTGTGTTCCCTTGCATTAAGATCAACTTTGTTCTCAAGAGCTACTATCTTTTTGTAGATAGCCTCATTGGTGTAGCCTTCTTCAGGAACAAGAGCAGCAGTAGAAGAAGATGAAGCATCCTTGTAACATACCGTTTTTCATTATTTTGAACAATACAAGTATTCTTTGTTGATGTGGTGACATTTATTTCATTTTCCCTTGTTGTCATCATGGTATATGGTTTCTGTTGAAGACGAATGGAGCTTGCCTCTAAAATGATGGAAATGATTCGCCCATAAGGAAGTCCTTCAGCAAGAAATTTGATATGAAGCATATGATGCATGAACACATATGCCCAATTCATCTGCAAATTCTTCTTAATTGCAAACAGGAGCTGAACCTCCATATCACGCGTCTGAGAATTATTAGAGTGTTTTGGAACAAGAATGTAAGCTAGGACATAATGCAGCATTTGGTCACTCACAGTAAGGTTTTTAGCCAGCTTAAATACCCTAGACGTTTCAGGATTTTGTCTACTTAACAGCTCTTCTTGGGTTATTATGGAAATTTCAATGTAATAATTCATGCTTGAAAAGTCTTTTCAAGGATCAGCCTCTAATTGAATTCCATATCTGATGTTTTCTCCTTCAAAAGGAATTCCTAAACATTGACTTAACTCTTCTAAGTTCATGGAGATGGTTACTCCTTTAACAGTAGTTTAAAATGTTAAGTCTCCAAATTCATCATGTCCCAATTTATAATAAGAAAATAATTCTTTAACTAAACCCGGGTAAACCGGTTCAATATTGCTAACAAGCTTATCAATGCCTTGAGTCTTCAAAAGTTTAAGAAAATCAAAGCTATGAGCAGGAAAGGAAGATAGACTCACATATTTTACCGACATCAATGGACGATTCCGGATGTTGAATGTCAGCCTTCTTGCCTTGACAGTCTGAGCTTGTTTTTCTTCAGTGGGTTCTGAGCTTGATTCTCCCAATTTCTTCTTTCCTTTGTATTGCATTTTGGGTGCCATTGTTGTTTTGGAAGCTTTTAGGGTTTCACAGATGAAATGGATTGAGATGAAGAGAGAGGAGCTTGTTGAGGTATATAAGGAGAGATATGTGATAGTGGGTATTGAAGTTTGTTGACCAACTCTTAAATATAGAAGAGGAGAAGATGGAAGAGTGAAGAGAATGAATTTTGAGGAGTGAAAAGATCTTAAAGTCTGAAATAAGTGATTATGAGAAATATGAAGTGAGTTTTAAATGAGCTTTTGCAATTCTGTTTTTAATGAATAATTTTATGAAAACGAGCAGTAGTAACCGGTTACCAGGTATGGGTAATCGGTTACCATACCAAAAACAGTGAACAGAAGTAAAAAAACATAACAGTAGTAACCGGTTACCAGGTGTAGGTAATCGGTTACCACAAGTCAAAAAACAACAACTTCATATTTCAAATAGAAAATAATAAACCTTAGAAATATTCATACCTTGGAATTATTTTTTAGAAAAATAATGAGTTGTTATTGAAGATTTACACATCACCTTCATCTAGAATTCCAAGTTCCCTTCGAATCTTGTAAAAAGCTTCTTTTGGAAGTGGTTTTGTGAAGATGTCTTCCAGTTGGTTATGTGTATCAACGAAAGTAACTTCAACGTCTTTTTGGAGAACGTGATCTCATAGGAAGTGATGTCGAATATCAGTGTGTTTTGTCCTTGAGTGCATGACAGGGTTCTTTGTAATGTCGATCGCGCTTGTATTATCACACCTTAGAGGAACGCATCTGAGATTCAGTCCATAATCATGTAGTTGTTGTTTGAGCCAAAGGATCTATGCACAACAACTTCCTTCCGCAATGTATTTTGCTTCAGCTGTGCTAAGAGAAACACATGCTTGCTTCTTACAGGACCAAGAAACCAATGCATTACCTAGAATGCGACAAGCTCCACTTGTGCTTTTGTGATCTATTTTACAACCTGCATAATCTGAGTCAGAATAACCTACTAAGTTACAAATACTACCTTTTGGATACCATAGTCCAAAATTGGTTGTTCCTTTGAGATACTTCATGATCTTCTTTACAGAAGTGAGATGTGATTCCTTTGGATTTGCTTGAAACCAACCACATAAACACATATTGAACATTATGTCAGGACGACTTGCCGTCAAATATAATAGAGAATCAATCATACCTCGATACTTTGTGGTATCAACTGAAGTACCCGATTCGCCTTGATAAACATAAGTTACAGATCCCATTGGAGTAGACATTGCTTTACAACTATCCATGTCGAATATCTTCAACAACTCTTTGCAATACTTGGCTTGGTTGATGAAGATGCCATCCTTTAACTGCTTTATTTGTAATCCAAGGAAGTAAGTCATCTTTCCCATCATAGACATCTCGAACTCTCCTTGCATCATCAACGAGAACCCCTCACAAAGATCTTTGTTGGTTGATCCAAATATGATGTCGTCAACATAAACTTGAACTAGTAAAGTGTTGTCCTTAATTCGTTTGATGAACAAGGTCTTATCTACTTTACCTTTTTCAAATCGCTTTTCGCATAGAAAGTTGCTGAGTCGATCATACCATGCCCTTGGTGTAACGCCCCGATTCTGATTTCCAATTTTGTTGAGTCTTTTGATTTATTAGGGTGATTAATATTTTAATTGTGGAATT